GGAGGAAGAGCTTCAACAAGGGATGAAGACGTTGAAGGGAAGAGGGTGGGGGGGGGGGGTTGCTGAATTGTTTCCTAAGAGCAAAGCTGGGACAGAATGAAAGAAGCGATGGAAAGCTAGCCAAATGTGGGGGGCCTGTTTCCAGAACCCCTCAAGTTGGGGACCTGAACTCGCTGAGTCGTCTCCCGGGGGGGTGGGGGTGGGGGGAGGGATGGGGTGCGAGGTGAGTCACTGGGTGGTTCCAGCTCCGGGACAGAGGTTGCCCAGGTAAGGTCCCTTGAGCCCCAAAGCAGCGACCCCTAAGCCTTCGGGGGCCCCAGCCAACTCAGCCCCCGTCTGTTGTGTGTCTTACGCCCGGTCCGCGCCGGCCGCCCGCGCCCGCTCGCCGCTGCCCCCAGCTCGAGGAGGACATCGCAGCGAAAGAGAAGCTGCTGCGGGCGTCGGAGGACGAGCGGGACCGGGTGCTGGAGGAGCTGCACAAGGCGGAGGACAGCCTCCTGGCGGCCGACGAGACCGCCGCCAAGGTACCCCGGGCGCGCGGCGCGGCACGGAGCACGAACGGCTAACTCTCTCTCTCTCTCTCTCTCTCTCTCTCTCTCTCTCTCTCCCTCCCCCCTCTCTCTCTCTCCTACTCCCGCTGTCCCTGTCCTCTACGTCTGTGCACCCTCGCCCCGCGCCTTGCGGGATCACGCTGCCTGCCGCACCCCGCCCCACCCCCCTCTCCCTTCCCCGTACTCCACCGCCAACTCCCAGCTGGAAGATGAGCTGGTGTCACTGCAAAAGAAACTCAAGGGCACTGAAGATGAACTGGACAAATACTCCGAGGCTCTCAAAGATGCCCAGGAGAAACTGGAGCTGGCGGAGAAAAAGGCCACGGATGTAAGTGCACGCTCACATCGCCTCCCTCACCTCCTGTCCGCGTGGCCGCTCTGGGGGTCACCACAGGGGCTGCAGAGCAGAGGGAGAGGATAAACCTCCTCCTCAGGACACCTGCACACAGCCTGGCCGTGGCCCAGAGCACTGGATGCCGCCCCTGCTGCCGCTGCGCACGTTTCCTTTAAACTCCGCTCATTCCTTTTCCTCTTTACCTACTCCCCTTCGGTTGGAGGTGGGTGGGCGCGAAGCTGGGAGAACACCGCCTCTGAAATGACTGCTGGAGGCGAACTTCGCCTCCTGCTGGTGTAAAACCTCTGAAGCGTGTGTGTCATCACCGAGGTCTGTGCGGAAACAGAATACCTAGTCGTTAACCCCAGTGGTTTCCGCTGATGGGCCTGGCCTGGGTGGGTACAGAGAGCCTGGCCTTTAAACGTACTCACACTTTTACTTCGATGGCTAAACTTGAGGGCCACAGGGACAATCTGAGGCCCCCCTTTTCTCACCAGGCAAACCTTAAGACCTGCCCAGGGAAGACGATACTTGCTTGGGTCTGCAGTCTGAGGCACTAGATCCAGAAAGTACGCAGGGAGTTATATATAGCTCAGCGCTTTATAAGGCGTAGCGAGCCGGCTGCCCCCTGCCCGCCCCACCCCCACCTGTCAGCTCTGACAACCGCCACACACTTCCAAGGGGTTTATAGACACAGCTCCAGCCCTGCTGAGCACCCCTGTCCATACTCCGCTGGAATCTTGGCTATAAGAAGTCAAACCGAGGGTCGGTTTTCCAGTGGACTGACTTCTTTTCACACCGCTGCATTCCACGGGAGAAGCCAGCTAAGCCGGAGGCCCAATTAGAAAAGAATTCCTTGGGAAGCTGAAAACAATTCCAAGAATGTCTGAGCAGCAGGGAAAGCTACACTCTGAAGTTGAACCCCCAAGTTCGACAGCAGTGTGTAATTTGTAGGTTTTTTTGCTTTGTGTTTTTGTTTTGATAATGTGTAATGCAGATTACCCAAGGGTACTGGAATCTGCACTGGCCTTTCCTATGGTGAAAGGCTTGAGATTTATCTAGTGTTCTTGGTTGTGGGCCAGATAACCAACACTGGGATCAGACAAAAAAAATTTTTTTTTCCAGTGACAGTTAAGTTTTCTGGAAAACTTAAGGGGAATTGGGGAAGCACTGATTTAACTAAGACTCACGTTAAAAACCTACCTGACCTTAGAAAAAGAACAACAAGAAACCTTCACAACTCTGAGCCTGTATAACATGAATCAGATGTCTGCTTTGTACACACTAAAAGGAGGATGCCGGTCACCCTCAAATTCTCCTGCAGGAGGTTTATTTAGGTTTTTCAAAAGAGCCGCTGATAGATCAGGGAGAGATATCCCTTATAAGGAAAGGAATTCAGAGAATTTCCAAATAGCCAGTACCAATGAAAGCGGGAGGAGGGGGAAAAAGTTACTATAATTCTTAAGGGAGAAAAGATAATACTTGTAGCTATGTAATGGTAATCTTGTCTTTAATGAGAACTCTCGGTGGGGGGGGGGGGCCCTGGAATGGGGGGGCAGATGGGGAAAAAGGGTATTTAAAGTCAGCTGTGGGGGCGGGGCCAGGAGGAGAGGGAGGTTCTTAAAGCCAGTTTTGGTTCTTGCTATGAGCTGGAAAACTCTCTAAATATGGTGTGAATGTGTGTTTCTCTTGTGGTTAGTGTATTGATCATCTTCCTCTGTTAAACACTGTAAGCTCTTTAGAGACTAAGAATGTTAAAGGAATTTTGTCAAGATTCATTATATTTAGAGAGAGGCTGGCTTACTTGAACTAGCTAAGAGTTAAGAGGAAAACACAGGTGTCTCTAGAGGAAAGAGGTGGGAGAGAAGTCGGCCTCCTGAAGTATTGCAGTGAGAACTGTTTTACTGTTTAGTGTTAAAAATTGTTTTCCGATTATTATTACTAAAAAATATTGTCCCAATTTACCAACACAGTTTAAAAAGCTGTCTGTCTTTCGGGAGCTAACATTCCTAGTAATCTGTTTTGGATTTTTACTGGTTTTTCTCCTAAGTGAGGCTGAGTCCTGCCTCGGCTATCTTTGCTGTGACGTAGCTGATTATTTGCAGGATGTGAGTCTGTATCCCTCTAGATCTTCTTCCTAATGCAGTGTGACTCAGGCTTAGCTAAACTCAGGTTTTCCCTTGAGTCAGTCACACCAAGATCTCTTCGGATGGGACTCAGCCACAGGTTTCTCAAACAACCAAGGGATTGTAACCTGTAGCTAAAACTCGCTAGCTGCCCGTAGCTCTTCTGTTAGGGACATCGGAGTGAAAATAATCTCTCCAGAAGCTGACTTCCTAGGGTGTTTGAGAAGCGAAACAGTAAATCAGTAGGGAGGCTGCCTACTGCCTTGGCGAGTGGAGCAAGCCAGCCTGTTGCCCGGCTGCCCACGGGGGGGGGGGGGGGGGGGGGGGGGGGGG